ATTACCGTTGCACGGTTTCACACCCACGTAACTGCTGTCGATCTGCTGATAGCAAGGCTGCGATGGACTGTCGGCTGTGAGGGTTGTTCGTCGATTTTAACGGAGATTTTCGGGCGATATGGTTATTTCGTCTGGTTTTGGGGTCCTTGCAAGTGGTCGTGTAGGGGGTGAGTATGCCAAATGTATAATTACTGCCTCCCAAAAGAACTCTGAACGAAGCACTAGGGAGAGCTTCTTAAAATAAGTTTATCGCTGTATTATCCTCTGCAAAAGTTTAGTTCCATTACATTTTCGAAGAGCGTTCTGCGTCTAAAGGGCATTCTGCCTATATCATGCACCGATGTGCAGCTACCATTTGGGCTCGAGAGAGAACCCGTAAAGCACAACGGGACGAGTGACCTCCGTAAAAACGATCGGTGAGCGTCCCTCTACCATTATTTATTCCCCATCGTAACCGACAAGACAACGAGCCCGTAACTCAGTGATTGGGGGCGTTGGACTCCTAAATAACTGTTCGTGGGATCAAGCCCCAGGTGTTCCACGCTTCGGGGTTGGGTATGACTGGCTGACGACCACTAATAAGCCAGAAGTGGCCACTGCAGTCTCCCTTGTATTTGTCGGTAATAACATTCTGCCCACATCGTGCGCCGGTGTGCGGTTGCTAGCTGGACTCGAGAGAGAGAGAGCCCGTAAGGCACAACGGGGCGAGTGAGTTCCGTAAGCACAATCGGTGAGCGCTCCTCTACCAATCAACGAATTGAACACTGATACGGATTTCTCTTTACCTTCTGATCTAAGTGCAGGGATCAATGTTTGCATTAGCGTGATGTGTATGCATAGTGCCTAACAGTAGCCAATCAACTGCACGCCACAATGGTAAGTAGCCCGACTTAACCCTAGGTATCTAGCATACTCATACGACTTCCTGATTATATCCCAGTCTTAAAAATGAAGGTTATACTTCCGCCCGAAATAAAAGGACTAACTTCAGACGAAGTCCTGTGGAGTCATCCTGCCAAGTTTAATATTGGGGTGAATGGATGTATCCAAGTTGGATGCTTCAAGCACTAGCCATTAACATCAGCTTTAAGTTTTTATATTAGCCGTTGTATTCGCGGGCAGTTTGGCGCGTCGTGGCATTACAGGCTTGGTATCATTAAACTCAAATGTAAACATTCGTTTTGCAAGTAAGCATAAAATCTACTCCAATTTGTTCTATTAAATTACACTCGTCAGAAGTTCAATTTTTCGCTTTGATCTCGAAAGCGGTGGCGCTTTGATCTGAGATCGAAAGCGTGGCCTCGTTTTTCCAACTACCGGTCTGTTCGGGCGGGGTCCTGCCCTGACGTATAGAGACAGACGTTTCTGTGGGTAGTGGAATGCAAATGTGAACTTTTAAATCAGTCTCTGTATCAAAGTTCACTCACGGTGTGTATTACTTTGTTTAATCAGAGAAACGTCTCGAGGAAGAGACGGCTGGGTGGTGCTGGTGTTCTTTAAGTCTTTTGGATAGTAATTTTCCTTATGCACTGATATATTACTGGAAGAACTCTAAGCCGGGCATTACTGTAATAATGGTAGAACTTGCTCATATGGACGCCTAAACGGGACATGAAAAAAGGAACCGCCTGCAAAACGGGTGGATCCGAGCCAATTTCCAATGAAATCAGGGCAAGGTTTAACGTTTGAGTTAGCTTTAAGGCTAGATATAAAGTTAGCGGTACGCTATTTAAGAATCAGGTTTAGGGCTAAGGTTATGGCTTGTGTTAACTGCAGAGTTAAGGTTTATGGTAGGACAAGGATCAAGATTAGGGCAATGGTTTAGTTTCATGTTAGGGTTATTAATGAGGTACCAAAGTATTCTCAAGCTGCATCCCTGACCAGGAGAAGGCACCCCTGGGGATTGATGGCTGCCAACTTGAAGAAGTGGACAGTTTTAAATACCTCGGGGCGCGGCTGCTGCCTAATGGACAGAGTAAGGACGACATTGTCTCCCGAATCGATGCTGCCCGCTGGGTTTTTTCAAGCCTTCGGAAATGTCTGTGGAACCGACGTGACCTCTCCATCGCCACTAAGATTCGCGTGTACCGTGCATCTGTCCGGTCTGTCCTTCTCTACGGTTGCGGATGCTGGGCTTTGCGCGTGGCGGATGAGCGAAAAATGGAGGTATTTGACCACCACTGCTTGAGGATCATTCTTCGAGTGAAGTTAACCGACTTCGTCTCAAATGAGATAGTCCGCACTCGCTGCGACATCGCGAGGATAACTCAGGCCATCCAAGAAAGACGACTGAGGTGGTTCGGGCATGTTCTTCGTCGTCCACCTCAGGAGCCCAGTGTTACTGCCCTCGATCCGGCACCTTTGCCCCATTGGAGACGTCGAAGAGGGGGTCAGTTCAAAACCTGGCTCGACACTGTCCGTCAAGACATGGAGGTGGTTCTTGGACCTTCGGTATTCGGTCTCCGTCGTTGGCGAAGGGAATGGGTTGAGCTGTCTAGATCTGCTGCCGCGGATCGTCACGCGTGGAGAGGTACAATTCGGGACATCATCGAGGCCGGCAAGATCAGGCATGATCGCAGCCGTATCAAGTAAGTCAAGTAAGTAAGTATTAATGAGGTTAGGACACAGGAGCATTCTGCCCTTTCCGGAATTATGCGCAGATCCACCTATTCCACGCCCTGTTTAGGGCGCCATATAAGTCAGTCTCACCCCTTACTAACCAATCCGTTGTACTTAAGTGACTTGGTTCGAAATGCACCCCGAAGTGGGTAGGATGGAGAGGGCTGCATTCGTCCTATAGTTTGCCCGTTGCAAGAGACAATATCCGCCGGCGCCTCACATAGCAGCCGCAGTGGTGATTTACGCGCGAATTTGTTCAGGATGAATCAGGCTTGCATCCCACCTATCTTATTGTCTGTTTTCGCGGACACTGGCTTCCGATGGTGGGATTTGTCCGGGGGTCAGTCAGTTCCTGCGTATGAAGAAGCTAGATTGACGCTCTCCGCCGCAGGCCTTTGGGAGGCCAGCTACTTTGCGACATACCTTATGAGCGTATTCACCTTGTAAGCAGTATGTGGTGGGGCTAACCTATTTGAACGTTCAAACAGAATATGAGAACAGGAACTGCCTGCAACACGGGTGACTTTGAGCAAAATTCAAGTGAAATTAGGGTTCGGTTAAAGGTAAAGGTTAGGGTTAGCTAAAGATTAGGTTAAAGGTTAGATTTAAAGTTGATGGAGTTAAAAAAAAAGTGGCTAGTGTTAACTGCAGAGTAAAAGTTTAGGGTGGGTTCAAGTTTAGGACAATGGTTTGGTTTTATATTGGGGTCATTTTTTGGAGTTAGGGCTCTGCTTAGTTTACTTAATTTACTGCGTGTTCTCTTTCCTTTCAAAGCAGTTGACACAGCAGACCATGCTGTTAATATCTTCGGCCCAGTTCCGAGCCCCACCAACAGCTGCCCAGAGGCCAGCCCTATAAGCTAGGAAAACAGGGGTGGCCGTTTCTTGCATATTAGTCATCATCAGCCAGCCACACCCATCAGGTTTTTGCGTCCCCATGAGGATCGAGATTCGGGACTAGGAAGAATGTCTCGTAACGTGCTTTGTGAGAGCCGTCATCTCCCACTCTCGATCGCAGCCAACAAGACAAGGAACCCGTTGCTCAGGCGTTAAAGCGTTGGTCCTCTAAGCAGAAGGACACCGATTTGAACTGAAAGGGTTCGGTATGACCGGCTGATGCCGGTCAGAAATGACTATTCCAGTCTCACTTGCCTTCGTTGGTTGTTTTTTTCCCGCCCATAAAGATAATATCCTGCTATGGCAGAGCACTAGTTCTGCGTTATTCTCAACTGACAGCGCATACGCAAATACTTCCTGAACCCTGCAGCCCACTATCAATGTCCTCCATACATACGCGTCAACTTAATAGTCGTCGCTGGTACTTGAGGCATCTTCTTTACCAAGAGATCACCAAAATCCATTGGAGTTGTTGTGGTTACTACACCAAACCCTTCATCGAAATTTGTTACAGTATATTTAATGACATACTCCATTAACCTTTAACTAAATTCTGAAATGCCTTCTCGATTAGAAAAGACCCAAGTTAGGGTTTTAATATTGATTGTTATGCATAAAAACCTAAGAAGAAGAGTCGAGCACCGGAACAATTCGTTTATTATCCTGAGCTTTCAGACTCGTACAGGAGTCCATCGTCAGAGGTAGTGGCAGAAACAGGACAAGCGGCAGTTATAAGGCACGTAGACCCAATCATCGACCGACGTCGCACGACTGGAGGTGACTACGAAGGGCTCTGTACGCCGGCGCCAGATCGATAAATCGATTGACCGAGTTCTCATCCGAGGCCCAGGCTTCAATCAATTCTCGGCCTGTTTTGTTTCCGGCGTGGGCAACTATTTTGGTGGCTGCGAAGTCAAACTCGTGACCCATTTCGTAGGTGTGGGCGGCCACTTGTGATAATGCGTCGCCTCGCCGCACAGCCAGCTTATTTTCATGTATGCGCGATCCGAGCATGCGTCCAGTCTTTCCTGTGTAATTACAAGGACAATTTTGACACGGAATGCGATACACTACTCCAGATTGCTCTTCAGGTTTTAACAGGTCTCTGATCTTCATGACCCTGTTGCGCATGGCGGCTTTGGGGCGGTGTGCAATTCCAACACCTAGCTCCGCAGCAATGCGCTCGGTCCCTTCTGAAACACCCTTGATGTATGGCAGAGAATGCCATATCGTCGGTGGCGTTGATGTTTGAGTTCTCTGGTGGCGACCGCGTAGGCAGCGACTTATGAATGCCCTCGGATAGCCATTTTGCACAAATTGGTCGCGGAGATAACGGGCCTCACGCGCTCTATCTTCGAGTTTGCTGCAATGAGTTTGGATCCGTTTGAAGAGCGTCGTCACACAGCTTCGTTTGTGAGCCACCGGATGGTTGCTGTGAAAACTGAGAAGCTGTGTGGTGTTCGTTGCCTTCCTATAAACCGTCGTTTAAAGTTCACCGTTAAGGTTTCGTCTGACGAGCACATCCAGGAAGGGCAACTGTTGCTCCTGTTCTTCTTCTCTCGTGAATTTTATATCCGGGAAGACTGCCTTGAGCAGGCAGTGAAAATGTTGCAGCATGTCCTTCTTTACGATGACGAACGTGTCGTCAACGTAACGTCGCCAAAACACCGGTTCATGTTGAAGGAAGGCAATCTTTTCCAACTCCTGTAGGACCAGTTCTGCCACCAAACCGGAGACCGGTGAGCCCATTGGGGTTCCCTTGATTTGTTCATAGGTCTCTCCCGCAAAAGTGAAGAAAGTTTGTTGGCAGAATTCAAACAGCCTCATGAGGTGTTCAATTTTGAGGGCATCCTGAGTCTCATCGTACGCCTCTTCAAGTCTCTTGCGCAAGACTTCGCGGGCCACGTTTGGTGGGATAGATGTGAATAACGACGTCACATCGAAGGACTCCTGTACGAGTCTAAAAGCTCAGGATAATAAACGAATTGTTCCGGTGCTTGACTCTTCTTCTTCTTCAAATATGTATACACCTGGAACTCGAAATTTCGCCTTCATTCATAAAAACCTAAACATATTCAGAAGACGAAGATGCGATCGCTGGAACAAGAAATTTATTGACCTGGCGTTTCGGTTTCTCACTCGAACCCATCATCAGATACAGTCGCAGATTAAGATCTTTTTGCCACGTCATGCTACGGGCTTTTAAACGCACTGCTTACCTGCCGCCTGCGACAACTACCACCGGCAAAAAGTGCTGCTTAAATAGTATGTTTTTTCCACTGATTTTAGATGTACTTATTAATTCTCATATATTCCGTGGGGAGCATGTGCGCATTATTTTTTATCGCATTTCTTGTCAGCAAACCATATTTGAGGAAGAGGTTTCTCCTAGTTTATGAAAAGCCTTCGATACTCGAATAATACATGCAAAAAGTACATAAATGTCGGGATAATTTCGAAACCGACCTGCCGTTGCACTTGCATTTAGGGTGTCCAAACCACAAACTGTTTACTTTCCGCGCAAAGAAGAGAAACTTATTCTCCCTGCTTTTAAGAAGATACTACAAATTCCACTAAGAAGACATTATATAATGCACATAAATCCCTTTCGATTAACGTGGCCCGTGTTGTATGCTTCATAAAGAACATCAATAAACGGACATAAACGATGCTATCTAAATAAACAGTTCAAGGTATTTTAAGTCACATTGTTATAAACTCTATAAAAGTCGAAAGCTATTCTTTCTTTAGATAAGGACTTTGGAAAAGACGCAATTTGTCACCAAATGAACGTAATAAGGAATATTTTGTGTTTGTTTTCTATAAAATATATGGTGGTTTACGACTGCAGCGAAGATCATTGGAAATGATGCGCACCATTTAATAAGTCACCCTCGCCAAGTTCTTTTGCTGCAGGCGATTGATAAAAGGAGTGTTTAAAAGTCGGCAGACTGACGTGACTGAGCTCTTTCGGGATTCTGCAGCATTACAGTTCCACTTATGTAATCCTTCCTTATCAAAAACATATTTCAGATGTTGAAGCAACATCTCATGGGACACTTTCGTATCAAGATAGATTACTTATCTCCCATCAATGAAACGACGATTAGGGGGACTTTAGATTTCGTTTATCTTTTTCAGCTTATGTTGTCGGACAGACATTGGCGCATGGTAGGATCCAGCTTTGAACGATCCTAAACGGCAAACTGTTCTCCATAGGCGTTTCCTAGAGTAGTGAACGTTCGCTCACCTAGACTGTTTTGGCTTAACCCTGCCCTTTATAATAGGACTTGTATTGGCGGGGGTATAGTATGTACCCGGTGTCATTAACAGATAATCCTAGAATCCTGTCTAACGACACGTATTACAGGAGGCCACCAACATTCACAGGCGACGGCCAGTAGGCCAAGGCAGAGAAAGAAGAAAAGAATCGATCGGCCCAAGGCCAACTAATGCGGCAGTCTATTCAAAAATGCTGATCGATTTTTTCATTTGACGCTTTGACAATGGAGAGCAGCCCCAGCTCTTCGAAACGTCAGCCAGAAAAGTCCCCTGATCCGGTGAGCAATTCATTCTCCTCAGATAGGGGTTATACTGGCGTGGCTTTCGGATGTCGGGCATTTTTGCCTGCAATGTAGTTCCACTTCCCCCTTCTATCACTTTACTAGGTCTTAGTGGGCTTAATTCCCCATTCCATAGGAAGTTTTTTCAAAAATTACAGCATTACCTTCCCTCACGTGCTGATCTTGCATAGCTTATGAACTCATTCCCTGTGCTAAAACAGACCCCAAATGACTGTCCAAAACCACTTGTTTACTCTGGTAGAAAACCAAGCATTTCTGTATCCACTGCGAGGCCTAATTTAATGCCCGCTTGTGAAGATTCTGATGATTCAGCCACTATCAGATTGGGCTGTGTCTGCTTGTGGAGGATCACTCTGACCGGTAGACTGTTGCTACAAAGACGGGCCTTGTGGGACTCACCTCAGTGACAATGGAGGGAGGATAGCCTTGGTGCCTCAAAAGTGGTTATTACTTTTTCGCCCCCAACTATTACATTCTTCATACTACTAACGTTTCCAATTACTGTAATGTTTTGGACATGGTGGATTCTCGAGTTAACCCAATTAAAACTGCTCTAGAAGGCAGTGCGGATGGCTCTTTCTGAAGACTGCTTGCTTGCGGATTAGCAGACAGTTGCTAATTGAGATTCAAGTCGATCGATTGGAGGAGCGGGGTTTAAAACGGGTAGGCTGTGTCTAGCTTTATTCACCAGACAAAACCCACCTCCTCACCTCCCCCTTCCCCCAATGTTCACACCTCCTGCACTTTGGGGTCACCACAGCCGAACACAAATGCATTTACGGATGACAACACGCTTGTTGAGCCATTCGAAGGGACTAGAACTGCTGGCGGTGACAACATGCGTGAATGTCGAACAGAGCGTAGCCCGGCATCAGTGGGAAGGTCCTGACAGAGCGTTTTGCGTCTAGTTCAGCTTTTTAACACTTTTTCAAGAGGGCTGACTAGGCTATGGTCACGCAGTGCAGTAGATTGCTTTTTTTCCACGAATTCCCTCCATGGCTCGTACTTGCACAGACCAAGGTAACAGGGGCTGACAGGGACGATTCCGGGGTTTCAATCACGTCATCAATCGCAAGCGCACAAGTACCGACTGTATAGCGACAACCTTTGTTTACAATCATTTGTAGGTGAGGTAAGACATTTAGGTGCAACTATACCGGTGCATAAAAAAAGAACGCTTATCGGTCCTTACTACCTTCACGCAAACGCTCATTTCGCGTCCTGATACCGTTTTCACGAGGTAGTACGTGTACTTTGCTTTTCGCTGGTAGTTCGCCTTCTAGGCAGAGATGGCTATTTTGTTTACGGCTGCAGGATGGGACGCCATCAGACGACTTGAGAGTCTCTATGGCAGAACTCTGCACCTGCCGTTGTCGGATCGATTGCCGTAAGCTCGCGCGCCCTTGTGTGTCTGTGGCGGTGTGTGTGTGCCCCCCAAACGGGCCATGTGTTAGATGCGCTGGACCAACACGGGGGCCACATCGGATTTTGGCAGGCGTTATCCGTGCGCAATAACAAATGCCAACACCTCGGGGGTGCGCTGGCAGTCTCTGTTGTCGACAGTCGTCGCACAACTGGGATCACTGTCAGCCCTCCATTGTTGTGGCGGTCTAAATTCTGGTCATTGTTGTATGGACCAGGGGGTGCGGAGTGGAGCGCCAGGGCGAGGATCCGTCCAAGTCATCCACTTGCGGCCTCCCTCTTCTCCGGTCTTCTTTACTCTGTCTTGACACCGGGCTCAGGCGGGGGAGGAGGAGAGGGTGTGGATAATGCAGCGCAAGTCTACTGGCACTATAAACCCCCGCGCAAGTCACCGCCCTGATCCCACCGCTGCCGCTGTGGGGCACACGGTGGACATCATCGAAATCGATTTGTCGAACTATCGTGTGTGTGTGTGTGTGTGGCGGTGTGTGTGGGTGCGGTGGCAGGCCCAGTTGCAGGCCCGCCGGGCCCATTTGGGTCCCTGTCGCTCCCATTTTTGTCGTTGTTGTTTGAGACCTTGATCAAGTTTTTGTCGTAGACCAGGAAGTATGGTGGTACGCCTAGGTACAGGTTTGTGCTGCGCCAGTCACTGACGTCCTCCCTCATCCCCCTCTCCGGTCTTCTCGACTTTGTCTAGACACCTGGTCTAGGTTAGAAAGGAGGAGGAGAAACTGGTAGACGCAACACAAGTCTACTACCGCTATAAACTAACTCACGCGCAAGTCAACGTCCCTGCTCTCGTCCTGCTGTGGAGCACACGGTGGACATCGTCGGCAACGATGGTTGAACTGCTGTGTGTGAGGGTTGGAGGACTAAAGGCGAGTCGCACTACTACTTTGGAACGGATCCGCTAGGCGGAGGTTTACTATGATTTTTTTATCTAGCCTACCTTAAACTTCTCACCGTTGCATTTGGAGGGAGAGAGAGAGAGAGAGAGGAAAAAGCGAGTGAGGCCGAGGTCTCATGACCGCTTCTTCCTAATAATAAGTCTTCAGTGCTTTTCAACTGTCATGTGACACAAATAGTGTAGTTTGTAAGGCCGGCAACTGGCCGTCCAGCCTTGTTTTCTGGAGTGAGTTAAGCTGAAAGCGCGCTTTTCAGTCCGCTTTTCATGGTAACTGTCAAAAATGACATCCTCCGCTATCAAAGTCTGGCTTACGCACGTAGGCTGAGATAGTCCTGTCTGCCAGCCACAGGGTCCGATTTTGTCACGAGTCTTTCTGTCTCGGACTGCTCACTGATAGATGACGGAAACGGGAAGGACCAATTCAGCCCCAACTCTTCTAATTATAATTAATCTGGGTGTTTTTTTCCGAAATATACTCCTAGCGAATAATTGTGATCCTGAATTAATAGATTGCAATCTGATGGGGTAACTGAGTCCTACTGAAAACGAGGTCCCCATTTATAATGTCCGCCTCTGGGCGTAGTCTCTACTGCGACTCTTATCAAATTATTAGAGTTCGAGTCGTGCGCAAGCATGTGCAGGTTCGTGTGTGGTCCGCGTAGTCGGAAGCCGATGCCAACCCCAATCGGTCTGATTTTTTTGAATATGGAACGCCCTCCCCCCTCTCGCAGGGGGAATCCCCCAAACATGCTGGCATAGAAATGTATTGTACTTATAAGCCCACACTGTCGGGGTGAATTGAGGCATGACGTGCTCCTGGCATTGCTAATTGCTATGTCAGGCGACCCACGACCATGGACTTGCGTTTGTCTTTGTGGGGGATTTGTTAACAACGAAAATCCTCTATCACACATTTTCATTAGCTCACTGATCAAAATGGGACAGCATCGAAAGAATGAAACAATGCCGTTACTGCCAGTCAAGGTATGTGGGCAAACGTTTGGGAAACAGTTGTTTGTTCGCGTTTTACTTGAATAGATATAATAATCCTGCAAGGCAAATACTTCAGTCCCTGTTTGCGTTGTCAGCTGATAAATTTATATTCCATCAACTATACTGCCCGTATTTTGTTCCGAGTCTCCTGACTCTGCATATGGCCAGTAGAATTTCTTATCGCCGTAAACGGGTGTCTAGCCAGTCCTTCCATGCAGTTTTTAACACAATGAAAGCTCACTGCTGGCTGATCTAGCCATATCCCACGGCAGACTACTGGTGTTCTGCCTCGGCTTTTTGGTCGTGGGCTAGTCCCACGGAAAACGGAGCGAAGGAGGCCTGGTGGTTTGTCTTCAGTCAGCAGCTAAAACAGCGGCAAATGTTAGTCTGTGAAAGATGGAATCAGCATGCGAGTCAGTAAGTCGACATTCAGGCTAATTTCCGAAGTTTTATTGACTTCGACTGAAGATTGTCAAAACTGCGTGGAAAAATCGCTAATTAATCATCAGGCCGAGCACTAGAAATGACTTTAGTTTTGTCGCCAAAACGACGTCTACAATTGACGTTTTGTCCCAGTGTGCACATGTCATCGGTGTCTACTAGTCTGAACACTAATTATTTTACTTAGCGATGCCTGATGGATCATAAGGCAGAGAATTATAGGGACAGGCAATACGATGTCTTCTTAATAAACATTGGGGTTTGAAGTTATTCATGTCAAAACTACGCAAATTCTTCCTTTTATCTAAAGCTTTTCATGAGGTGTTGGAGAGAATTCAGTACATTTGATACATCACCCCACAAATTGCTGGAAAACGTTTTGACAGTGATCTGCGAAACCGACTGACAGAAGACATAATATCATCATAAATCATGCATGATGACATGCTTACCTTAAGCTAGGAATCTTCCAGGTCGCATTGCGCACTTTCAATTGGATGAGCCTCCTACATTAATAATGGATGTTTTGGCGGTTGTTGACGTTGTGTTTAAGCTGTCTGACTGGTTGGAGGGAATGGAAAACTCCTTATTTATCATAATTATTTTACAAAAAATTTTAGTAGGTGGTCATGAATATTTTGGGCAGTAAATATGTCATTTCATCCACAAATACTTCAAGACGCAGTCTGCTGTTTCATGCCGTCCCAAGGTCTTATAGCCGTACATTTGGCATCACACTTCACAAATCACTGGGCCAAATTTTTAAATATATTCGCGACTGAAAAGGCATATAGAGGCTGATCTGCAAAACTGCCTGACACGAAGCATCATATCATTATTAATAATGCATAATGACATGCTTGTCTTAGGCTAGAAAGCTTCGTGGTTACATTGACTACTTTCAATTAGATCAGCTTCTTACTTAAATAATGGCTATTCGGGCTATTAGACTGTTTTTAAGGGATAAAAACTCCTTATTTATCATGATTATCTTGCAAGAAAATGTGTGCTGAGTAGCGATGAATATACTGGGCATTAAATAGATCTTTTTATCCATATATACTTTAAGACGCAGTCTGCCGTTTCATGCAGTCATAAGGTCTTATAGCCGTAAGATTTGTATTTTTTATCGTTTAACTTCATTGGAATAGCTTATGGACATCTATTGGATATTTGACGAGATCTGGATCATCCTGCATAATTTCGAACGGGCATTGATTAAATTGTGATGGTCAGACTGTATTAATATTCCCACAAAGCTCTCAACATTACTGGGTATTGATTTCTTTAAAACTGAGTGTGTAAAGAATTCTACCTAGTGAGGAGAAATTGAATTTTTAGGTAGGAAAACTTAACAAAACCAAGGCGATTATAAGAATGACCACTAAATTTAACCTCAGTCTATCCCCTGTCAGATTGTACACCCACACAGGGCACGTAATCATCCAGAAAATTCCTCGAAATTATGCCCCACGCTCTCTTGAGTGTAACCTTTTAGTCCAAAGCACAAATAGGAACGCCAGTCAATGTTTGGTAAGTTTCAGCGACTGCTGTACAGTCAGTGACCGTAGTCATGAAATAGAAGTCGAAATTCTGAAATGCGGTTTCGATTGGGAAAGATTGCGTGGGTGGGGTTGTGGAATGGATTATCATGCGGCATAATCTAGTGACATTTCAGACTTGCTGGGGTGTTGGCTTTTGAATGCACTTCTTCTCAACTTCTTGTAAAATCCGGACTCCGTAAAAAAACGACTGCGTTGATAGTGTGAATTTTTCCCGCTGATTTTCGATAGCCTTCCAAATTTAAAAATATTTTACGGAAACCATGCACAAAAATATGTTTTCATTTGCTAGTTAGGGGAAAAATCACGTCGCCTTAACACTTTATACTTTAGGAAAGAGTATTTTTCGGTTTTAAAAAAGTTTCTAATTATGAGATCTTTTAAGACCGTACGATGTCCATTCCAACAGCATCGTACCTCTTCATCTATGAATGCTCGTCACGAGGTATACAACATGGTCCGCATCCATTGCAAAATTTTATGCACTCTGCGTGTCATCATCTTGAAAACTTGAAAAAAATATGTGATTCTCCTTAGGAGGAAAGTATACACCTTGTTGACTGGAATTGCTGAACGCTAACGCGACGGCTCGGAATTATTCGAAAGTTGAAAACCTTTTTAAAACCGACAGGCACTTTTTCTTCGGGTATAAAATGCGAAGACGGGATTTGCCACCAAATGGGTGAAAGGAAACATACTTTTGTGCATATTTTATTGAAAATACATTTGGATTTGGATGGCCGTCAGAAATCAATGCGAAACATGCATACAATTTAAGCAGTCACTTTTTACCTAGCCCAGTTTATACAGGAGGTAAAAAAGAAGTACATTCAAAAGCCAATATCCTGGCGATTCCAAAAACCATCGCTGTCAGTTAAACTGCAAATCTATTTGCAACGCAAGATGGCAAATATTTCTAGATGACCTTGAAGTTACGACGTCCATCTGTCTACCGACAGATGGTCTGCTGCTCGTTAAGCTCCTGTCATTCCTTACGCCAACTACCTATGACGGTCGCCAGGGGTCGACTGTTTTTAAGCAGTGATGGCTCCCGTGGTGCAAATAATGTTTCCATGAGCATGGTGAGTGTTTCTTTTCTTTTTTTATAAAAAGTGACATGCCGGGAGCGGCTTTCCCCCATTGGTTGGGCATTAGAACAAGTACCCTCTGAACTTTACTCATCTATAATGTCTACTTATTTGATTTAGGTAGGCACATCGGGTGCCTGCGCGAACGTCTTTACGTGATTAAATGGGTAACGGATAGCAAACCAGCTGAGGACACGGGTAACAACGGAAACAGTTAAATAAGATGTAACCAGACGCTGTAGACCTTACCTTTTGTGGTATGAAGCTGTTGACCGGAGTGATGACGAGAAATAAAAGAAGAGAGCATATGCGCAGCATTGGCCACAGTATGAGATAGAAGACAACGGACGCCTTCCTGTGACCTGTTGGGTGACTTGCAGAAAAATAACGCAGGACTTAGAAACTCAATGGCCCTCACCGACCGGTTTAGTTTTCCATCAGCCGAAGACAGACCGATTATTGCGATGTCGACCTAGCTGGCGCGCGCGACGGCGCCCTCGGCCCCATTCATTGGACTACGAAGGAACCTAGGGTACGAAGCTAACTCAAGGGGAAGGCGCACTCCCCTCAACACTGTAGTCAACAGGGCTCACGATCTACGGTTTAGAGCCATTAACTGGATTACTAGGTGTTTTGCATATTTTAATAATTATTTATTCTGACCCATCTGTGGTCTTTAGGCCACCGCAATCTCTGCGAAAGAAGTGGACATCAAGGAATGCCAGCTGATTATTTTATTTCTCCTCCGTCGTAAATTTTATTTCCGGGCATTCCTTGATGTCCTCGTCTTCCACAAAGATTGTGGTGGCCTAAAGACCAAAGTGTCCAGAAGAGCGACGAACACTACGTAAATACTGAACTTCAACAGTAACCACCCAATCAGCCGCAAACGCAGTTGCGTAAGAACGCTATATCGGCGTGTTGAAACGCACTGCAAAGAACCGGAAGACAAGGTTGTCGAATCCCAATATCTTCGACGGGTTTCCAGAGAAACTGGTTACCCGCGCAACTTCGTCAACCGGTGCATGCGCAAACGAGACGAGCGACAAAGCCGTGCAGACTCCAAATTCTGGCGAGCGATCCCGTACATCAAGGACGTCTTCGAGGCCATTAGTCGCCTTCACGCACCAATTGGAGTTGGAGTTGCACACAGACCGGAGGCCACCATGAGGCGTCAAGTGATGAGACCAAAAGACCCACTGCCACGGCAAGAAACATCTGGAGTCGTTTACCGGATCTGGTGCAGTTGCGGACAAAGCAACTACGTCGGAGAAACTGGAAGACTGCTCCAAACGCAAATTGCCGAACACGCGGCAGCGGTACGGAGAAATGACGCCACCTCGCAGGTCGCGGCCCATTTGACGAGACGCAGCCACATATTCAAGTTCGATGAGGCCGAAATTCTCGCGAGAGGGAATAATCGCGTGAGCCGCCAGTTGCTTGAGTCATGGTTCACGGACCTCAGTCTATCAACAAGTGCAACGACATCCCCACTCCATATTGCGTGCTGAGGCATAGGCTGGCCAAGATAATTGACCCCTCGGGGAGCACGCAAGCCGGTGAGCCAGATGGCCGAGCAATCATCACGCCAGAATCCAACACGGGTGATGAAATTTCAGCAATTAACACCGTGCATGCCGGCCATCAAGCAATTAGCACACCAGCGGGCAACAATCCTTGATGAAGGGGAGCGCGGTTAATTGCTATAGGTATGCGGTAACATAGCGACTGCATCCTATAAACACTGCAACTTCCTATGCACGAGTCACCCTTTCCTGCCACTGTCTCTGATGATGGATTCAAGTGAGAATCCGAAACGTCAGACGAATACAGCCCTTGTTCCAGCGATCGTTTCTTCTTCGGATCAATTAGTTCCTGAAACTCGCACCTTCGCTTGTATCGGTAAGCTCTTAACTCAGGTGATTAGAGCGTTGTCTGTGCTGGAGCCATCCTCTTGCTGTCGTGGTTTTGGATCCTGCCGAGGTCACCGAGTTTTTAACGGTTTGATCAAATTAAATTAACTAGATGAGCCGCGAACAACATGGAGAAAAAACAAAGGGCGTTTTCCAGCGACCTTATCGGTTACTAATATGAACAGGACTGTAGACCATGAAGTCCACCGCAAACTTCATATAAGACGCAGATAAAAGTAGCAGAGATCAACTCGACCGACTGGACGCCAGCCAGATAGAGAAAGGGGAGGCGCTGTTAGCAGCAATGGACCTCAGAGGTTGCTGCTAATGCACATCAAACCACCTTAACAAAGATAATCAAACGCTTTACTGGGAGCTAGTTTATAGGGACACTTGTTTCTGTGCACATCACCACCCCTCACCAGTTTGACCTCTCTACTTAGGTCACTCGAGAACCAGAGCTGGAGTTGATAAAACTTCCATAGCTGGCAATGCTGGCTTCTTTTTCTATCTGAGCGTCGAAGTCCATAGCTGCTCAGGAATCTCCGCCCTTACGGCGCTAAAAGTAATAATCCTCCTTGTTCTTTACACTTTCGAATTTCGGGGAAATTAGGACCAGAACAATACGCAGCTCTCTTGTCGCGAGTCGAATCGTCTGGTTTTACTTGCCGACAAATGCTCGGTTGGTTAGCAAAACTGCGTTTTTTAATGCTGCCAAATCTTCCCTTCGCTTGAGTGGCTTCAAACGTACAGTGCGTGACCAATTTCATGAAATGTTAGCCGAAATTCTGATATGCGTTTTCGATTAGGAAGGATTACTTAGGTGGGTTTGTAATATTTATTAGCATGCAGCATAATCCTGTAGCGTTTCGGAGTCATCAGGATTTCGGCTTTTGGGTGCACTTCTTTTTGACCTGCAGAAACCATATTCAGTAAAAAAATTAACTACTTAAGTAGCATGCATTTTTCACATTGATTTTCGATGGTCTTACAAATTCAAATATATTCTACAGAAAACATGGACAAAATAGGCTTTATTTTACCAGTTTGGTAGAAAATCACATTGACTTCAAATTTTATGCCCGAAGAAAGTGTATATTTAGGTTTTCATTAAGTTTCTAATTATGAGATGTTTAAGCCCGTAAGATGTCTTTGCATACAAGACCGCACATGCCCGTTTACCAATGTTCCTCATGAAATGTACAACACAGTCCGAATCCATTGCGAAATTTTATGAACTCTTTATGGTTTCTCCTTAAAGTCCTAGGGGATAATATGGTTCTCCTTACGCGGAAAGCATGCATCTTGTAGACTGTAATTGCTAACGCTAATGCAATGGCAGATTAGGCTCAAAATCATTCGGGAATTGGGAAACATTTTTTAAACCTAAAATTATGCTTTCTTCGGATATAAAATATGAAGATAATGGAAGTTTCTACCAAAGGAGTAAAAGAAAGCATACTTTGTGCATGTTTTCTATAAAATATATTTGAATTTATAAGACCATCGAAAACTAATAGGAAAAATGTGTGCTACTTAAGTAGTCATTTTTACCGAGTGTGATTTCTACAAGAGGCCAAAAGCAAGTTCATTCAAAAGCGGACAGCCTAACAGGTCCGAAGTACTATAGGATGATGCTGCATGCTAATAATAGTACAACCCCACCTAAGTAATTCTTCCTAATTGAAAACGAATTTCAGATTGTCGGCCAACATTTCACGAGATCGGTCACGCACTGTTCTTATATAAAGTGGTTCTGGTAAGCTGTTTGTGAGAAGGGGAGCTAGAGTGAGGTTAAATGTTCAAAATGTGCGTGTCAGCTGCTGTGTGTTCTATCACAATCCATCCTCATAGACTTTTAGCAGTTGAGTTAGGCTTATCGGTTAAGATGTTCAGGTAGGGCCTGAAGGGCAAATCCAACTGACCTCCCATATCCTCGCTCTTGGCCGTTAAATTGCGACCCGGACAGGTCAAGTGGCCAGAGAGTTTTGACTTGAGTACTCAATGACCCACCTGACGCTTAATCCAACTTCGTGTACGGTAGCACCGTGGATTGGGGTGAGAGGGTCTAAGAGGTTGGAAACGAACATTCCAGTGTCTCTTCTCATCTCCAATAGCCTGTTTCGGTGGATTCTTGCACGTTTCAAACCTCCAAATAAAAACTGCAGCTTACCTGTCTATAATGAACATGTTCCTGTGGTTTTGTGAGAGTATTTTCAAGTTTTTATGAGACTAGTTACTCAGAAAGGCAGAAACTATGCATTGGGCCAGATTGGTTTAATCGTAGCGGCCTGGGTGGTTCTATGGCAAATGAAGCCTGACTGTTTAAGTCAAACCTTCAGGATAATGTTCTGTCAGCTACAACATGGTAGGCTGTCTTCGCTTTCACAAGTCGATTCTCTTCACCTCATCTAAGCTATATGTTAACTGCAAATGCTTTAGCAAATTTTGCCTGGAGGCTCCAACGGCCAAATAACCTCAACGATACTGGTAAAAGGTAAAAGGCGCTTATCACTGAGTGCGCTCTCATTTTCTTATATCGACCGACTGGGCCACAAGGACTCGGGAATAGCGCAGTCTGGGACCCTAGTAGCTCGGATTTGAACCCTAGCCTTGTCGCCTTGGTTTATTGTTACCATAAACACGAAATTCGTTGCCTAATAGGGTTACTTAAGTGGGACTGTAACATTGGTTATCTTACGATATACTCCCGTTGGTGTCGGCTATGAATCTACTTCTTTTTGATTCCTTGCAAAAAAAACTGCACTCAGTAAAAAGCACTTCTTAAGTGGTATGATTTTTGCCTTTCGATTTTCAATGTCCTTTACTCATTTGATAGCAAATCACATTTGTACTCGAAGAAAAGACATTTTGGTTTTTAACATTTTTTTCCATTCCGAGTAATTTTGAGCTAGATATGCCGTTTCACTTGCCCTAAGGGTTCCCAGTCTACAAGCAGTATACTTTCCGTGTAATGGGAAACGTACGTTTCCTTAAGCCATTAAAAAGATATCATATGGGGCTCATTAAATGTTGCAGCGAATGTGGCCTATGCTGTACGCTCAAGGTAAGGCATTGTAGGGCAGACGGACACGATGTTATTTAAATGGGTATTTCACGGCCTTAAAAAAATTTCAAAATTACAAAATTTTTTTCATTTTTGCTGCGGAATATATCTGAATATGTGGGGTCATCGAGAAGCGGGGAAATGCACGCTATATACTAATACTATATTCACTTAATTATAATTAAGTAGGCACTTTACCGAACGCGGTTTTTACATGCGGCCAGAAAGAAATGCACTCAAAAAAAGCATTCTGGTGTGACTGAAATACCTAGGGATTATACTGTACGATAATCAATGTTACAAACTCACCTAGGAAATTCTTTCCATCCGAAAACGCATTCCACAATTTTGGTTAACAATTGTTGCGGGCAGCCATCATGACCAGTCTGGCGTCATTGTTCAAGACTTCGCTGCCTCAAGTTCAGTCACCCCTTCGCAGTGAGCCATTCCAGACGCGCTGATCTGAAGTCACACAACCGACAGTTCGGGCATACCAGCGTCCGCACAGCCGCAGCTGCCCATACGGCCACCTGAACGCACCTCCACCCTGAAACCACAACCTAAGCCACTGGAACACCACCCCTCGACAAATGCAACACACTGACTGGCCACCACTTGAACTTGGTCCACGAGCCTACAAAAGCGGCTGCCACCACTATCTTAGAGACTCTGAGGCTTGACCGGACACAGTCTACACCAGCCCTGGCTTCGCCAGTGGCCACTGCTGCCTGAGAGGACATCTCCGGGTTCTGTATACATTAAACCCCTCATTCTGGTTTCATTCGTCTTCTCCTTCCAACATAGAATTTGCCCTGATTATAGTAACGCTCAGACTACACACAAACACCGCTTGGTCACAACACACTGCGTGATTCCGGTCACTGGCTTTATGTCACCGAGAGGACTTTCAGGGCCTCTGCTCACGGGACGCCGATTGATATTTTGTTATTTGATACAGCCACATGCAGTCTCGTGATTTTTCTGGCCCAGTTTGGCCAACGATCCAACTAAAAAGCTGTGATTATAAAGCAAACGGTCATGATGGCTGATGTATTCTGTCTCGTTAGACATTCTAGGTATCATGCAGGGATTCCGACTTAAATGCCGACTGGAAGAATTAAATAATCATTCTTTTATATGATGTGTCAGCCCTTATCGGCTAACATCGTTGTCGATAAAGGCAGTCGCCCTCTCGTTTCTACATGTATACTGTGATTATCCCCATGTTATTTCTTCGGGCTGTTACTTATAGACGCCCAAAAAGAGGCCTGCATGACAATCAGAACCGTTGGATCGAGAAAGTTGTGCAATAATCCCCACAACTGTCGGTGAATATATGTTCTGACTACTGAGCAAAAGGTGTGCTGATGATCACCGCCAAGAGCCATAGTCAACATTTAAGGTTACGAATGAGAAAAACGCCAGAGTCGACATCTTTGGACGTAAATATGAAAGTCGTTTTCACGCACAGAATAATTGTCATTTAGTGCCGTCTTGTGTTGATAGGCGAATTTCAAGTCGTGCACACGAAACGTCAGAGTTTTTAAGACAGATCACACCAATTGTTGAAAGAAAGACAAAACAAAGGTCTCCGATCAAACCAGGATGACGAATTCTGTTCTGTTAGCGTCTGAACCTGGTAGGAAAAATGAAGTTCTGTCTTAGTATGCGTGACATCTAAGATATTAGATGACTACATTTTTGAGCTTGTAACGTATCCTTGGAGAAAGATGTTTGAGTACAAAAGAATTGTGCTCCATTACCCCAAAGCTTTACGAAAGTTAAGATTGACTCAGCAAATAGCATTAATTTGCTTAAATGCTGAAGTACAAATGCTGTAGAGGTGAACCAAAGCGTGCCACATAACCGATATTTCAGCTTTTCAAGTAAAAAAGCATTTAAATAGTGTTGAACATAACATTAATTCGACTTCTCAAACATGTCCAAAACTGTTGTGATATTATTCATTGGCTAAATACCGTCAAGGGAATGAAAGCATCCTGTTTAGGAGGATAGATTACGTTTAATGTTTTCGTTTTTTGCCAACGACACCAAGGTTAGAATACAATTCGGCAGTTTTGCAGTACTGAAAGCGCGGGTACGTTCGATATGCAGGTCACCCTGTAGAATCAGTCGAAAAATTAAATTAACCCCCGTTATTTGTTTTGGACGCCTGAGATAAAGTGGACCATCTGCTGAAATCCCAGCCGTTTTCCCACCATTTATCTTTATTCACACCTGTTAAACGGTGGGACAAACGGCGTACATGTCAACAGGTAGTCCAGTCTAGGCAGTCTCCCGAAAGCAAAAAGAGGGAATTTTCTTACCCATACAATTGCTTCTAAAGGGCCGATATATGCAAGGAACGGCCATGCACTATCCATATCACAAAAAATTGCAATATTATTAACCAGCTGTGCTACAAATAAAAGGCTACCGACCACTTAGAGTTTCATGACTACTGAGAGTTAAAATCTGCAAAAAAACATAGAGTTACAAAGTTATCAGCCAGATATAACTGACAGCAGTCACATTTCTTCTGTAAAGGCTGCTAAAAACAAATTCGGAAGCCTAGAGTGATCTAGCAGCAACCTGCTCTAAACCCTACTCGCCCTATAGAGTAAGAAAAGTAACCTCCTGGTACTCTACGTGATCCTTATATGGCTTCGAACTAACGGCTCGCCACTGGAAGGCCTATTTGCCCGAATTATAGATCAGAAATTTTAAACCGGTATCGGCCCATGTCCGTTCAGGGGCTTGCATGTCTCTTCGATCGTCGATTTCGACGAGGTCCACCGTGGGTTCAACAAAGGCATGAGAGCAGGGACGGTGGCTTGCGCGGGAAGTAGTTTGCAGCAATAGTGGACTTTCCTCCTTTTCCTCCACCTGAGACCGGTGCCATGACTGAGTCAAGAAGGCTGGATGTGGGAAATTGTGCAGGTGGCTGGCGCGCCCGGAGCCGCCCCTAGGCACGACGTCATATATGGCTCGGATCCCACAGAATAGAACTGCCATAGAGGCCACATTAAGAAACAGCGATTGCAGCCTGATTCTCAGTTCACTACTTCGCTACTCCACACAAACACACGCTGGCCTGCTGCAGGGTTCAGCTTAACCCGTCATTTGGCAGCCTTCGACGTCACGGCTTTTAGCGCACCGTGATAATTTTAGGCGCGTCAGACTGTTTTATTTAGAAAATTGCGTAAATAAGTAGACCTTTTTCTCTCTTTCCATTCCCAGGCACCAGTGAGATGTCGAACTGGCCAGATATCTGATGCCGGAAGTGGTCGTAGCGGCTGATAAAACCTGAGGGCCTGTCTGTGTGTGTCATATGCACGACCTGATCCCTCAGATGTGCCCACCGAAGATGTACAAGCAAGGGGATAGAACGGTCGCTTCTCAAATGCATCAGAGGAGCCACATGGATAAGGGTACCGAAAAGCGTACTTCACACTAATGTGAGGGGTACAAATGTTGCGGGACTTTCGAGGATGGCGGGATAATGTGTGATAATATAGTTGCGTATGCGGTGACTTACCTCAGGTTTCCATGAAGGTCCATGTGGTGAGGGGATGTGCGTGGACCAAATGGGCAGTTGAGGCAGGTACGGTTTGTGTATGTTGGTTCTCCGGACACTCTTTCACTGGTCTCTGTGCAATGGTTTCGCAGCTGATCGACAGGCAGTGGCTGTGAGGGCAGGACAGGTTAGCGACTGTAGGATCGGACGAGGGGATGTGGCTATTAGTCGTGGCCGTGTTGATGGGTGATTAGTTCTTAATACTCGAAGTCGGACTGTTGTCGGATATGCTGGATGTGTGTTAATCGCCCGTTTCCGTGGATACACATACGACCGAATAGACCCGTGCGGTGAGTGAATGTGCGTGTACAGTGTGGGCAGTAGAGGCAGGTGAAACGGGTGAATGTCTCACGTTCTTGACAAACGGCATGAAATCGTCTTTTCAGCAGCATCAACAATTCGCTTAACAGGGAGATAGTCATTTTATCCGCCTTCGAAAACGTCTAGACTGTAATTAGAAGCCAAGGAGTATAGGACCCGCACATTATAAATGACTATTAAGATGTATCTAGGTGATTTCACGAGGCAACGCCTGTTACCCACCAATCTTACGTACAGAATATTACAAATCGATGGCGCTTTACTCCCTCTTATGCACGAAGCTGCAAATGACACATTCGTTCTGCATTTTTTTTCTTTCCTTTTCAGTTGTCCTAATTTTTTAATTGGTTAAGACGTCGGGTAGTCTGAACGACTATCCTTAACGCGTCATGCCCTCGGTTTCCATCTTCAAGGGCCCACTTTCGCTTCTCAATGCTCATCGCTAAGCTTTCGCCGGATGATTAGTTACTTGTGGTTTGTTCTTCATGTTAAGTCGTCCCCAGGCCACTTCTTTCTGTCTTTGCGATAAGCGCTTAAATATCTAGTTCGGATGCAAGATACCCGCAAAGGCTCTCAGGAAGGCATCTTTCTAATCGCAGTTTTATGGACTTTGGCTTTAACTCGTTCCTCCACAATATTGATCCTGCGTGATTAAGCGAATTACCCAATCGCTAATCTCCACCAGAGTGGCGGTCTCTTCAAGCTCGCCAGGTGGGTGATTTGCTGGGCGGTCTCTTCGAGGCATTTTGTCCTCTACTCTGAGGTGTCCTTGTAGATATATAAGTGTATAGTCTTTTCAACTAAAATCCAAAGTTGTGATTGATGTTTCTATATAATATTAGAAGGCGCATCTCAATGTCAACCTATACCAAAACGTCTTTTCCACATAATTTCCCTAGTAGCAAACTATATCGAGACGATATCTATTAGATATCTATTTTTCGAGATACCTATATCCAGTATATATCGACTTTGTCCGCGGCCTAGATATCGAGACGATATCTATTTTTCGAGATACTACGAAATCGGCGATAGGGACACGTTAGGTAATGCGCATGATGCGGTTTCTTCTTCTTACACCCATATATAATTTTCTTATCGTCTGTTCGCCTTAGTCACCCCAATCCCGGCCTACTTTGCCTCCTGTTGTCCACTTTAGAACGCTTTTAACCCCTACAAGGGAACTTTTTTGAAGACGTGTAAGTACGGAGATAGTTTATTCGATAAAAAATGTGAAAAAGGATTAATGCATAGTGTTATCTGTTATCTGTTGAGTGCGTGACTGGCTCACTGAAATGCGTTCATTTTACTATCCCGATTTATGGCTTGACGGCACATTGAAAGTTATAACCTATAGGTGATTGGCTGACACGTGACATGTCACTGCCTGTAATCTGTCCAGCGGTCTCTCCTTCCGATTGGCGTTTTTGGAGTCGAAGGTCTCATTAATGCACTTACTCCTCAATTATGTGCGGCGTATCGGGCATAGTTAAATGTGTTGGAAAGCCGCACATGCGACTTTCTGTCTGATAACAGGACTTGGCGGGCAGAGCGGACCTTGGAATACCTGGGTCTCCCATAATGATCGCGCATACCGAATGCGCCTGTTAGGATCCGGTGTGGCACATTGATTTGTGTATCCTGTCTTCCGTATGTGACAGCAAGGCCGGGTTACTCGCGTAATTTGTACCCCGTCAGCCGACCAAATGACTGGTCACATGCTGATTCGGAAACGCAAATTGCTGGCTCATGGCGGCAACGTTTCCTGTGTTATGCCATCGAACCTACTAACATATCGTAACTGCATTGTCGCCGAGTTTGCCCGTTTGGATACTGGGCAAACATATTCCAGCAACACAAGACTGTGGATCACCGCTGTGTTCAATACCGCCTCAATGTCGCGGGTGAGTTTTGTTTGGTCTACCCTCCGAAGATTTCAGATTTTGCCTCTGAAGGCTTCATGAGCTGCTCGATGAGTAAAAGCAGACAAAAATCTGGGAAGCACTGTCCAGGGGGTTTTCTGAATGCATTTTATGCTTCAAATGACAGTTCGACCGTCGTGTTCAACGATGTTCACCGTATACTCCACAGCAGGATAAGGCAGGCAGGGTGACTTGCTCGTGAATTAGTTTATAGTGGGCGTGGACTTGCGCAGCATCTAATGCACTCTCTCCTCCTCTATCTGGACCCGGTGTCAAGACAGAACCAAAAAGACCGAGGAAGGGGGAGGGCGCAGGTGGATGGCACAACCGGACCCGCTTATTGGTGCTCCACTCCACACGCCCTGGTCCACGCGACAAATGACCAGGATTTTAACCAACAACCACAACGGGTCAGAAGGACGACAATGACTGGACAACCATGTTCGCGACCTGTATACCCAGCAGGAGTGCAAGCGCATCTACAGGTAGGAAATCAGGTTTCAGAGAACTGCCAGCGCAAACCAGGCTGCGAGTGCCTTTGTTTGCTGATCCTGGCATAGCAGACGCTTACGAACCTTTGGGCCCAGAAGGGTGACACGCGGCTTTGCGTTTGCCTGGGCCGTCACCCTTTAAGGTTAGGTAACCAAACAGTCGTCGACTGAGTGGCACTACCCATAAAGCACATGCATTCCCTCTTCACATACGTGAAAGCGTCACAGACCACATAAGAAGGAGCCGTGATAGCCTGACTCAGCCCACCAGGTTGCCACTCCACACAAACGCACATAACTGGGCAGACTCTGTGGTATGATTTGAGGCGTCAGTCGGCAGTCTTCCAAGCCACGGCGCCTGGCGCGCCAACACAGTCTCGGACTCGAATTACACGCAGCAGAGGAGCCACTTGGAGAAGAAGCCAAGAAGTGCACTTCGCACTTTTGTAGAAGGTACTAATTGGGTGCTTGTGATGGTGTTGGCAGCTGCGGATGTTGGTGGGGGAAGGTGTGGTGGTGTGGTGTAACCGTCGGTTGTCTACCGCAGGTTTTCGTGAATACGCATGTGACCTAGTAGGCCCATGCGGTTACTAAAAGCGCGGAGGCAGTGAGGACAGTTAAAGCGGATGCGGCCGTGCTCCAGGCACTGGTTTGTCAGTCTCTGAGCGATGGATTCGCAAGTGACCGACCGGGCCAATTTGTGCGGTGAAGATATGATCGCAGTGAAGACAGGTATGGAGCAAGTCGGCATCGCTGGTGTTGACGGTGGTGAGGCAGATGTTTACCGATGTGTCAGGACTGCGTGCAGTGGTGGTGGGTACAGGAGTCGCCACAGCGGATGTTACGGTGGTGAACGATGACAATGGAGGGTTCAGGAATGTGGTCACTTTTGGTTGTTGGCGTGAGGCTTGAGGCAGTGGACGGGGGGACATCGGGTCGTGTCTTTCGGCTGCTGCAGTTAGTTCAAAGATGTCCAATAAGACCGATTGGTGCCCGGAACGTTCTCCGACATCGTGGGCAGGTCGGGGGCGGTTGAGCGGTGACGTTTCGAGGTGAGGACAGTTGAGATTTGCGGGCTTTGTGTTTGGCTTTGGGGGCGGTAATGCTGTTAGCTTCGGAGATTGCGGCGCCTGCCTTCTCTGTTCTACTGCAGGTCGGTCGGTTTAGGGCGAGATCTTCCCAGTTGGCCGGGTTGATCTGCGGTCGCTTCAAGAAAGTCTTTGAAGTGTCCTTTTAGAGCCGGCATTGTTCGCCGTGTCGGCAGGAACCTGTGGTGACATCTCAACAGAAGAGTCGTCTGGGTAGCCACTCTTCGTCCATCTGCACGAGCTGTCCGCTCCGGCGCAGTTGCAGTTGTCTCAGCATGGCGTGGATATGGGGGATTCCCGTCCGTTTCAGTAGGTCCGTGTCCCGAATCCGATCTCGTCACCTCAGTCTTAGTATCCGCCAAAGACAGCTGAGGTGGAAGTGGTTGAGTCTCCGAGCCTGCTTCCTGTACGCCGTCCAGGTCTCCGCTCCATACAGCAGCGTCGGCAGGATGACCACTTTGTACATCTTGAGTTTGGTGCTGAGGTGGAAACCGTGACGTTTTCAGACGGTGTTCTGAAAGTGACCGAAGCCTTTGCAGGTCTTCGGGATCCGGCGTCGTCGATTTTGATGCTGTGAAAAAGGGTGCCACCCAGGCAGGTGAAGTTGTCCACGTATTGCAGCTGGGCACCGTCCACGTTGATTTAGGATGTGTTGTAGACAGCGTCGCGTGGCGGTTGTTGCATAACCACCGTCTTCTCTCTGTTGGTGACCAGGCCGTTGTCGCAGGCGCCGACAAAGAGATCCATGCTCCTTTGCATTCCCCCTTCTGAGGGGGCGTTGACAGCACAGTCGTCGACGAAGGGAAGTTCATGGGCGGTAGTTGTGGATACACGCGACTGGAAGTGCATCCGCCGCTGATTGAAGAGTTGACCGTCCTGTAAGCGACGCTGATCCGGGGACACTCATTACGTAGGCGTCCATCAGCATGACAGAGGGTAGGCTCGAGGAAGCAGCCCTGCTTCACTCTGTTGGTCACTGTGAATGCCTCTGAGGCAGCTTCATTGTCCGTGACACGCGCCGCCATGCCATCATGAAGCTGACGCACCATGTGAGTGAGTCGTTTAGGACAGCCGAATTTCTGCATGATTTTTTACAGTCCCGCGCGATTCACTGTGTCGAAGGCCTTCGTCAGCTCCACGAAGGTAGAGTAGAGATGAGTCTGCGTATCCTGACACTTCTCCTGTAGTTGGCGGGCGACGAAGATCATGTCGGGGGTGCCGCAATGACGGCGAAAGCCACATTGGCATTCCGGCAGGGGTCCTTGTTTTAGATGGTTGCTGAGACGGTTGAGGAGGGTGCGAGCGAAAATATTTCCGGCACACTCATGCTCTGCTCTTCAGTCGGACGAAAATCTTGCTTATGCGCACCTCTGGCTTCTGTAATGTAGAGTTTTCGGGCCATACAGCATCTCTAGCGGGACGTATCTTTTCAAAGTGACAGTACCTGCAAAAGGCTACTGACTGTAGATACAGTAGGTGGGCTAACTCATGAAATATCGACCGGAATTCCAAAATGCGTTTTCGTTCCGAAAAGATTGATTAAGTAGGGTTGTAAAACTAGCCAGCTGCAACATAATTCTATAATATTTCAGTTACCTCAGGATGCCAGCTTTCGAAAGAGCTTCTTCCGGCTGCATGCAAAAACTACACTGCAAAAAACGATTACTTAAGTAGCATGAATTGGTTTCGATGCACCTAAAAGTCCGATTATATTTCGTGGAAAGCATGCATAAAAATACTCATTCTTTCGCTCACTCGGTAGATAATGACATCCTCTTCCAATCTTATACTCGAAGGAAGGGTATAATTCGGTTTTCAAAAACATTTTTAATTCCCGGACAATTTTGAACCCGCTCTACCGTTGCACTTGGTTTCAGGGTTTCCAACTACAGGCCGTATATTTTCAGCGTACGGAAAACCACACATTTCTCTACGGTAATAAAGGTGGATTATATAGGGTTCATAAAATTTAGCAGTCGATTTGATCCATATTGTTAACTTTACAAGCCACATTGGTAAATTCAGAGACACGATAATTTATGAACGCCCATTTCACGGTACTTAGAAGTCCCACAATTATAAACTTTTTTAAAACCGAATTATACCCTTCTTTCGAGTATAAAATTGGAAGAAGACGTAATTTTCTACCGAATGAGTAAAAAAAGGAATATTGTTTTTGCGTGTTTTCCATGATATATAATTGAATTTTTAAGGGCATTGAAAATCAATGGGAAAATGCATGCTATTTAAGTAGTCATTTTTTGCGGAGTATAGCTTTTGCATGCTGCTGGAAAGAAGTTCTTTGGGCAGCCGGCATCCTGGGGTAGCTGAATTATTATAGAATTATGCTGCTTGATGATTAGTTCTCCAACCCTACTTAATCAATCTTTTCGAAACGAAAACGCATTTCGGAATTTCGGTTGACATTCCATGAGTTAGCCCACCTACTATATTCAGTCCTCTATAGTCAAATTGGCTGACAGATATGCTATCTTGACGGGGTAATGCATATGCCAGACGGGTGCTTAAGTCTGGCCTGTTTTCTACACCGGTTAATCGGGAGGTGACGCCCGGCTAATTTTATTTTATCTTCTACGATGGTGGGGAAAGCATGAAACGGTTGTCTGCATTGGTGATGGTAAACACCGGAGGCAATTTAATCGACAAAGACCGATTGTTGTTTCATATAAGTAAATTAAGCGGAGGCTATCTTTCGGTGACGAAATACGGGTGTTTTCCCCCTTCCTCGCATGTCGTGGTGCCCGAAAGACGGATCTGTTTGTCATTGCTGTCGCTGGTCACTCGAAGTGGCAGATAGGTGAGTGGTCTTCAGCGAACACTGGTTGTATAAACGAACTGACTCTTGCGTCTAGCAACTAAGCAGTCGTTGGCCGGCAACGTCGGAGTTAGGTGTGGCCTGACAGTTCGACTGTGACGGATGACGATGTCCACCGTGTGCCCCACAGGAGGGGGAGCATGGAGACGGCGACCTGCGCGCGAATTAGTCTATAATGATAGTAGACTTGCGCTGCATCTGTCGCGCTCCCCTCTGTCACCTGGGCTCGGTGTCAAGGTGGAGTTAGGGAGCCATGAGGTGAGATGGGGTGCAGATGGCTGGCGCGGCGTGAATTCGCGCCAAGGCGTGCGGCATCTTTGATGGGTGCGCAGCCCAGTACCATGTGCTGGACCCAGATCTGGCCCCCGTATTCGTTCAGCGCATCCCCCGCGTGGCTCTCACAAAGTCAAATGACTGCACCGTAACATAATGATCATAGACCGCTACTAAGTACCTTCTGTGTCACTTCCACTTTGACTTTCGATTCAAGCAAATTATTACACTAAAGAACACACAGATTCGCCGGTACGTCATGAAAATTGAGGCTGGTTGAATGATCTCTGGTCATAGTGTACGAAGTGAAAGTTCCAGGTTCTACCAAGGCAGCAAACACAACCGGGCTTTGGTCGGAGTTCTGCTGCATCTCTAAGTTTTTTTTCATTCGTTGAGGATCGTAAGAAGCCTGAGTCTGATGCCGATTGCCGATTTTAATGTACGCAACTGGTTTTGTCCTTCCATATGGGCCACTAAACTTCATGCGTACTTTTTTACCCTCTAACTGTAAAACGACCTCACTTTGTTTGACTGTATACAAGCATCGGTAAAGCTGTCGTTTCTTGTCTGAATATCTTCTAGCTGCTGGACTTACTTGTCTTAGTCCTGTGTTTAGTCTCAGCGCTTTCTTTACCATATTTGCACTTGACTCTTTACGGAATGCCTTCTTTTTCAGTGTTTTTTTCTTCCGCACGCATTGGTAAACACCAATGGACATCCTTTAACTTTCAGGTTCTGTGTCCGCTCGATCGCCATGTCCGTTGACTACTGTGATCGTTCTGCAGAGCTTGTCAAATGCGCCCAGCTGTTCCATCAGAAAGTGATGTCGGGTCGAGCTAGACTAAAACCCCGTCTCAGTGCAGCCGCTGCTGCCTACAAAATCCCTCTTTCCTCTCTCTACCGAGGACAGTTTTTGCCATCAGCACGACACATTCAAGTTCGACTTAACGACGCCGAAGGCAAACTGAACAGTCTGAAAGACTCCTCAGCTAATCCTGAAGGTCACCCTGTTCAGATCGCGGAGGCCCTATCACTCGGTGCCCATGCTCTTCAATCAGAGGTTGTATCCATTAACAGCTATCTGCAGCAGCTGCTAAAGCTCACACCGCAAGTCCTTCAGGAGGTAGCGAACCGCCCACAGGTTTCGAGACATGTCCAAGCAGTCGTCTCCACTCTTGAGCACCGAATGGCAGCACTTTCAATGGGTCTGCGGGACTTTTACCAGGACAAAAAACAACTACTTTCGGCCGTTGATTTAGACAAGGCTACACCCGCCGCTACGGACATCAGCGGTTCGAATCAACATCATCATCATCATCCAGACCACCTTGTGCTTGCCGCTCCATCCTACCCTCCTCAACCTCCCCACGTCGATGTTGGCGCTAATATGCAGCCCCTTATTCCATTATCCGCTTCGGTTCCCCCGACCTCCTCCAACTCCTCCGTAAGCGCCCCTTTTAATCGGGCCGGTGCGAACCCGTTGCTTTCCGTGCAGCACGCAGCACCACAGAATCTGCCCCCTAAAAGGGCACCGGCTTCCTTTAATGCACTTCCCCCTGAGGAGAAGAATCAGGTATGTGAGGTCTTCTATTTGTTGAGTTGGTTCGTCTGTTGAGGCAGGAGTAGGGTGTGTGTGGGATTTTGATTCTTTCAGCTTCTTTTCCTTATTCTGTGAAGCAGATTACCTAGAGATCTAGAACTTGATGTGTACGGAGTAATCTGTTTATGTTCCGCAAATATTCCCATGTTACACTTGAAAAGTCAAGTTGGCAAACACGTGTTTTCGGTAACTCTTCG